CAAATGTAAAATATCATCATTTTGTAAGGAGGTTCAAAACATAGAAATGTAAACATATGAATTTTGACATTTTGCCTGAACCATATTTTGAAACTTTACAAAATGATTTTATAGACTTGAAGAAAGATGTAAACTATTGTTATGAAGTCTATAAATAATGAATGTAATATTTTATCAAAATACACATATAATGCACTAAAACATGATTTCATTGAACTAAATAAAATTGATATTGATGAAATCATATATATGCATATAAGTATGAAACAAAAATATGTTTTCTAATTATATTAAATTGTTTCATATTAAAACTTGAAAACTATCAAACCAAAACATATATGTATATATATAACTATATATATACAAAACCAAAACGTGTATGTGTGTATATGATTGAGCTTAAAGTACTAACACACATAATATAAACTCCTAAACTAAATATTACCCAAGCTTGATCTTGATCTTCATTGTAGCTCAACTTGGTAAACTTGGATGAAGCTTGTAATTGGATCTTTAACTTGATAGCAAGGCTTCACTCCACTATTCCGCCAACCTCTATTGAATATGATCATAAAAGCTTGATTCCATCCATCCTCCAACATATTGTTTGTCTATAATGAATACAAAATACAAACACTAGACAAACAATATTAGATGTAAATTGTTTGTAAATCATCATCAAAATAAGAAGGCCAACAGTATCACCATTAAATCAAATGCATAATATTTCTAAAGAATAATCATGAAAATAAAAAAGAAACATACATGTTGAAGGAGATGAAGTTACTATAAAAATTGTGTAATTTCTTGGTTTATATATAGGCATGAGGTGTTACATGTAATAGGATAATAGTCATAATTATAGTTCTCTTTGTACAAACATTTAAAATTTAAAAAAAATAGAATTTGATTAGGATTGTGTTACATTGTTTATTTTAAATTTAAAGATGTTTATCATATTTAATTGTTTATTATATTTAATTGTATTTCAAGTGCACTTGTTAAATATCAATGTATGCCTTCCGTTTAAATTTAGTTAGCACACGAAACAGTTATGCCTTCGGTTTAAATTTAGTTAATTAGCACACAAAACAAACATAGCTTCTATCATATCTTAATACAACATAAAATAATGCAAATCCTAAAGTTACATAAACTCTCTTTATCCCCCTCCGGCCGTCCCCTATCCACATCCTTAAAATGAATAAAAATAAAGATAAAAAATAAATGAATATTTTAAAATAAATAAAACAAATATTTTAATAGGATAGTTCAAACAACTAACAAGTTTAAAAATTATATATCTGAGATATGCTTAAACTTGTCATTATAAAAAAAATTTAGTTAGTTAATAATTTTGGTAATTTGATTATGATTAGGATAATTATAGAAATTAAAAGTTAGAATTTGAATAGGATTAGGATAGTTCAAACTTTGAAGTTATTTGATTAGGATTAGAATAAATTATTAAATACAATTTTAAAATTCGAATTTGATTAGTGATAGGATAGTTTAAACTTTATAGGGGTAATTTATATATCTGAGATATGCTTAAACTTGTCATTATAAAAAAAATTTAGTTAGTTAATAATTTTGGTAATTTGATTATGATTAGGATAATTATAGAAATTAAAAGTTAGAATTTGAATAGGATTAGGATAGTTCAAACTTTGAAGTTATTTGATTAGGATTAGAATAAATTATTAAATACAATTTTAAAATTCGAATTTGATTAGTGATAGGATAGTTTAAACTTTATAGGGGTAATTT